TTTAGGGTTTAGGGTGGATACTAGGGCTTCTCTGCTTCAGAAGACCCCAGTCCATGCTGCGACGCAAGACCCAGAGTCGGCTTTCCTTCGGGCTTCATCTGGGAGTTTCAGAAAATTTGGGTACCTTACTTTTGGGGGTCCTTATGATAAGGATCCTACTATTTAGGGTTTAGGGTTTAGGGTTTAGGGTTTAGGGCGTACCTTACTTTTGGGGGTCCTTATGATAAGGATCCTACTATTTAGGGTACTATATTAGGGTCCCCTAGTTTCAGAAGCCCCTATCTAGCTCGGAACCGGATACCAGCTCCAGCGACGTCGTAAAGGCCTTTAATCCTAACTCCAACTCCAAATCGTCCAAATCCCTAAACTGCGGGGGATCTCTGAGTGACGTACTTCAGAGAACCCTAAACCCTAAACCCTAAAGCACTGACGTACTTCAGAGACCCCGAAACCGAAGCCTCAAACGAGAACGACTCGAATCAACTGCAGACCTTCTAAGCCAGAACCCAGAGCCCTAAACCCTAAACCCTAAACTCTAAACCCTAAACCCTAAACCCTAAACTCTAAACCCTAAACCCTAAACCCCAGAGGAAACTGTAGAATGGAAGCCCAAGCCCAAGCCCTCAAGCCGAACTGGACAGTTGAGAGATAGGATTTAGGGTTTAAGACTTAGGATTTAGGGTTTAAGAGTTAGGATTTAAGGGTTTAGGGTTTAGGGGTTTCGGGTTCAGGGGTTTTTGTTTTAGGGTTTAGGGTTTAGGGTTTATGGGATGTGACGGGCAGGCTTTCTGACTTCGCATGTAGGGCTGTCTGCGATCTGGAGGTTTGGACCTTCCTCCAAGAGCAACGTCCAAAACCCTAAATCCTAAGTCTTAAGCCCTAAATCCTAAATCTTAAGCCCTGAATCCTAACTCTTAAACCCTGAACCCGAAACCCCTAAAACCCAAACCCGACACCCCACTTGGCCCCTTCAAAAGCACCTTCCCGGACAGGCCATAGGAGGGCATCAGGATGGAGAAGTGGGCGTACTTGTCCTTGTCGTTTTGGGCTTAGGAGTTTAGGGATTATAGGGTTTAGGGTTTAGGATTTAGGGTTTAGGGTCTAGGGGTCTAGGGGTTGAGGGGTCTTGGGGTTTAGGGGTCTAGGGGTTTAGGGGGGTTTAGAGGTTTAGGGGGGTTTAGGGGTTTAGGGTTTTAGGAGAGTCGAGGGCAAGAGGCTGGCGGAATGGCGGCATCATCTCGAGTTTAGGGTTTGGCTTTGCTTGGGATCCAGGTCTTGGGGCATTCGGGGCTTCGGGTTTGGGGTTTAGGGTCTAGGGCTTCGGATTTACGGTTTAGGGCTTAGGGTTGCAATTTTGGGTTTGGGGCTGGGAGCTCAGGGCTCGGGGTCTTTGGTATTTGCGGCTCAGAGTTCAAAGCTCATGGATTTCGTGGTGTGCGGTTCGGGTTTTAGGTCTGAGGTCTCGGGGGTCGGAGCGTGGGATTGGGTAGTGTATGCTTTCAGGCTTGGGGCTTAAATTTCTTGGGGTTGCGGGGTACGTGCGGGTCCTGTGGGGTTTAGGCTTCGGCGGGATGTTCTGGCGAAGCGGGGTTTAGGGCTGACGGAGTCTCGGGTGTACAGTATATAGTATAGGAGCCTCGATGAGTAGAAATGCGGTACTTTGATGCAGCCCCATAACTCCTGAACGCGTACACGAGGTACCTTATGTCTCCGATCTAGGCTTAGCAGCATAAGTCCAGAGAGGTCTTACATGACCCCGCCCTTCCATCTTACACGGATATACTCCCTAAACCCTAAACCCTAAACCCTAAACACCCTAAACCCTAAACCGTGACGGATGTACTCTCGAAGGCCCACAGCGTCAAAACCCCTGTCCCGAAGCACTGGAGCCTCATCTGAAACTGGCTAGTCGGGTTTGTAGGGCTCCGTGGGGTCCCTAAACCCTAAACCCTAAAACCTAAACCCTAAATCCTAAACCCTAAACCGATCTGCTTTGTAGGGTTTGCTTACATCTGCCTTATGGGGCTTGTGAGCTTGACATCTGCTGCAAAGGGTTTAGGGTGTAGGGTTATGGAGCTAATGGGGTGGCTATCTGCTGCTGTATAGGGCTGATCCTCATCGGCCTTATGATTTCAAGGGTTTAGGGTTTAGGGTTCGGGGTTTAGGGTGTAGGGTTCAGGGTCCGGGGTTTAGGATTTAGGGTTTAGGGTTTGTGCAGAAAGCTCAGCCACGGACGTGCCCCGTGTTCTTCGTCGCGGCCTCGCAATTGAATGCTTGGTTCTGCGAGTGCTACAGAAGCCTCAGCAGTTAGACCTAGGCTTTGAGAGGGTCCCGGTCTAGAAAGTGTTCCGCAGTTACATAAGCCCTACCCATAGGCCCCATACTAGTTCCTTTTTGGGGTTACCGTATAGGATTCTATATATGAACCCCAAAAAGGAACTATTTTAGGGCCTATGGGTAACCTAAAACCCTAAGGATGACCTTTCTTGGTTTTCCAGGCTCGGACGGGTGTGGGATGTTGGGGACTTCGCCGAAGAGGGCGAGGGCTTCTCTACGTTGAGTATAAGATGAACTAAGGTCTTGATTGGGTTCTCTAAAACCCTAAACCCTAGTCTCTACGTTGAGTATAAGATGAACTAAGGTCTTGATTGGGTTCTCTAAAGCCCTAAACCCTAAACCTCTGGACCTTAAACCCTAAACCCTAAACCCTAAACCTCTGGACCCTAAAACAAGTCAACTCTAAGCCCTGAACCGCTGCAGTGCCAGGCAGCTCCCTGGCCTGGAGCTTGCCACTGCAATGCCTAGAGGCCTAGGGGGTTTAGGGTTTAGAGTTTAGGGTTTAGGGTTCAGGGTTTAGGGTGGCAAAGGTGAGGCATCACAACCTGCACTGAGAGCTCAGGGATGATTGAACTTAGGGACTACCAGGGAAGAGGATGAACTGCGCAAGAACACAGAAGCAGTGCAAGAACATGCAACGAACCGTTTCGTTTGCTGCTGGTAACTGCTGTCCGGCTGTCTTCGCACAGAGCAACGGCCACCACCGAATCCAGCTTCACTCAGGCAACGGCAGAGCCACCGCCGAACGCAACAAAGGCCCCATCTGTTAGTTGAAACTGCTGCGCACGCTTCAGCCAACATCGAATACGCTGCTGTCACTACCGGGCCAGATCACGACGGAGCCATCTTCAAGGATCGCAGTAAAGGCCCCCTGGTTTGATTGAATTTGCTGCACATTCTCCAGCTGATCTCGCACAGAACTGCAGTCACCACCGAAGCCAGGATCGCCCCAGGTTACCACAGAGCCATCCGCCAGGATCGCAGCAAAGGCAAACCAAGTTGATTGAATCTGCTGCACGTTCTTCAGCTGATCTCGCACAACACTCCATTCAGCAACGATATCAGCATCGCCCCAGGTCAACACAGAGCCATCCCCAGCGATAGCAGCAAAACTCCCTTCAGCTGCCTGAATCTGCTGCACATTCTGCAGCTGATCTCGCACAGCGCTGCAGTCTCCGCCACGATCAACATCACCCCATGTCACGACTGAGCCATCCCCAGTGATGGCAGCAAAGGCCCTCGCAGCTGCCTGAATCTGCTGCACAGTCTTCAGCTGATCTCGAACAGCAGCACTGTCACCACCGCAATCAGCATCGCCCCAGCTCACCACGGAGCCATCCCTAAGGATAGCAGCAAAGGCCTTGTCAGTTGCTTGAATCCGCAGCACATTTTTCAGCTGATCTCCCACAGCACTGCAGTCTCCACCATAATTAGCATCGCCCCAAGTCGCCACGGAGCCATGCCCGAGGATCGCAGCAAAGCCCCTCTCAGTTGCTTGAATCTGTTGCACATTCTGAAGCTGATCTCGCACAGCGCTGCAGTCTCCGCCACAATCAACATCACCCCATGTCACCACAGAGCCATCCCCAATGATAGCAGCAAAGGCCCTCGCAGTTGCTTGAATCTCGCGCACAGTCTGCAAATGATCTCGCACAGCAGCACTGTCACCACCACAAGCAGCATCGCCCCAGGTCACCACGGAGCCATCAGCCAGGATTGCTGCAAACGCAAATGAAGCTGCTTGAATCTGCCGCACTGTCTTCAGCTGATCTCGCACAGCGCTGCTGTCACCACCGTAGTCAGCACGGCCCCAGGTCACCACGGAGCCATCCGTCAGGATCGCAGCAAAGGCCCGCGGTGTCGCTTGAATTTGCTGCACATTCTTCAGCTGATCTCGCAGGGCACTGCTGTCACCGCCAGAGACAGCAGCGCCCCAGGTCACCATGTAGCCGTCCTCAAGGATCGCGGCGAAGGACCCTGCGTTTGACTGAATCTGCTGCACATTCTTCAGCTGATCTCGCACAACGCTGCTGTTACCACCGCTGCCATTGCCCCAGGTCACGACAGATCCATCCCCCAGGATGGCAGCAAAGGCCCGTAGTGTTGCTTGAACCTGCTGCACATTCTTCAGCTGATCTCGCACAGCAGTGCAGTCACCACCAATATCAACATCACCCCATGTTACCACCGACCCATCCCCAATGATGGCAGCGAAGGCCCTCGCAGTTGCTTTAATCTGCCGCACATTCTGCAGCTGATCTCGAACAGCAGCACTGTCACCACCGCAATCAGCATGGCCCCAGCTCACCACGGAGCCGTCCCCAAGGATCGCAGCAAATGCAGACCAAGTCGCTTGAACCTGCTGCACATTCTTCAGCTGATCTCGCACAGAACTGCAGTCACCACCGAAGCCAGGATCGCCCCAAGTCGCCACGGAGCCATGCCCGAGGATCGCAGCAAAGCCCCCCTCAGTTGCTTGAATCTGTTGCACATTCTGAAGCTGATCTCGCACAGCGCTGCAGTCTCCGCCACAATCAACATAACCCCATGTCACCACAGAGCCATCCCCAATGATAGCAGCAAAGGCCATCGCAGTTGCTTGAATCTCGCGCACATTCTGCAGCTGATCTCGCACAGCGCTGCAGTCTCCGCCACAGTCAACATCACCCCATGTCACCACAGAGCCATCCCCAATGATAGCAGCAAAGGCCCCTGCAGTTGCCTGAATCTCGCGCACAGTCTGCAGCTGATCTCGCACAGCGGCACTGTCACCACCGCAATCAGCATCGCCCCAGCTCACCACGGAGCCATCCGCCAGGATAGCAGCGAAGGTCTCTGCATTTGTCTGAATATGCCTCACATGCCTCAGCTGATCTCGCACGGCGCTGCTGTCACCACCACAATCATCATCGCCCCAGGTCACCACGGAGCCATCAGCCAGGATTGCTGCAAACGCAAATCAAGCTGCTTGAATCTGCCGCACATTCTTCAGCTGATCTCGAACAGCAGCACTGTCACCACCGCAATCAGCATGGCCCCAAGTCACCACGGATCCATCCCCAAGGATAGCAGCAAAGGCCCGCTCTGTTGCAATAATCTGCTGCACATTCTTCAGCTGATCTCGAACGCCACTGTTGTCACCGCCGAAGCCAGCATTGCCCCAGGCCACGACGGAGCCATCCCCCATGATCGCGGCGAAGGCCGCCCATCCGCCACATATATCAACTCTTCGAACTTGGAAGGTAAGGGGCAAGGGCTCCTCGTTCACATTCGCTTTCTGCAGCCTGGCTCGTTTTAGCGGTGCTCCTCCGTCAAGAACGCTTCCGGCGGAGTGCAAGAGTCGGCCTTTGCCAGCTCCAAGGGCTTTCTGCGCACGCTCTCGCAGCGATTCCACGGATTCGTCCTCGTGCGTCTGCAGCGACACCGTCTTGCCACTCAAGAGGCTTACCTCAACGGTAAATGACATGATGGAGCCGTGGATTTTGGATCAGTCCATGGCCAACACGCCGAATGTCGGGGCTCAACACATACACAAGCGTACACTCTTCAAACTCGTTTTGTGTTTGTCGAACAAGCGGTCTCAGTGCAGGATACAGCAGCACGAGTCTTGCACTGCTGACTTAATCAAACGGCCTGTGTCATGAACTCCATGCGCTAATCATACAGGTGCCTATGTTCGTCAAAACTACAAAGGAATCCGAACTGCGGTCACGGAGAGGCGTAAGCTTGGGTTTGGGATTCGAGTGTTTCGTGCTTTCGGTAAGGCACGCAGCCGACCCATATGTATTCCTTAGTTCATTCATTCACTTTTTATGCATCTAAGCACTTACTCAAACTTAATACATATATGTATATATGTATATACGTGTATATGTATTTGTTGATTAGTACTGATACTTGCATGTATATCTATATCTATGCGTTTAGGCTGTCTTAGCTATTTGTATTATGATATTTTCATGTGACATGATATGCTAGTATAGTATAGTGTAGTACAGTATACTGCATTGTATTGTATTGTGCGATGTTCTGCTGTATTATATCATATTGTAATATTTATTCTTACCAGGTTATACTATATTGTAGTATCTCATGTTAAAGTATGCTAGAGTATAGTTATACCATATTGTACTATATTCTGCTATATCGTAATATCTTATATTGTCTCATGCTATATTATCGCACGGTGTGAACTATTATGTTACGTGATATTATAGTACAGTATGTTAAACAACATTTTGGTATACATATGCATTATAACATTATATGAGATTGCTATATTTATGGTATATCATATTACGCATCATTAGGTTATACTGAGTTATACTGTATTGAAATTATATCATACCACAGTATGTTAGAGTATACTTATACCATATTATGTATGCTATAGCATATTCATTTTCGTTTGTTATGCTATATTACAGTAAAACATTGTCTGATATTGTCTTGTCGTGTCTTCGGCTATATTTGCTTATCATGTTGGACCATTTTGTACTATAACATAGTATTTTGTAGTATACTGTGTTATACTATAAACACACACCTACCTTTACATATATATGCCCGCCATGTGTATATACATATATACACACAAACATGAACGTTTACATGCAGGCATGTACATGTGTGTGTATATATATATATATATAGACATACATAAACAAATACATCGTATTCTCAAGAAAAAGAGTGCGGGACATGTAGGACAAACCGCGAAAGCTTTCCTTGGCCCCATTTTGCCTATCCTTAAAGTGCGCCTTACAGTATCCCGTACTACAGTACGCCTTGCAATATCCCTGAAAAGGAACCATTATAGTGTCCCTTACAGTAAGTACCCCTTCTAGCTTCCTTTGAAAGGAAGGCTTTGAAGGAAGTTTGCGTTCCGGCCACCATGGCATCCCTCACATCCGAATCCCCGCACCCTGCCCTCAAAATCCAAAACCTTCAACGCCAAAACCCCTGAATCCTGAACCCAAGCCCTAAATCGCCCTGGACCCTGAACCACAAATCCCCCCCCAAAAAAAAACACTCTCAAAGCCAGACCGAGCCCGAAAACTCTGTGCTAGCTGCCCCCCACAGAGCACTCTACTTAAGCCTTCTCCACGTAGATCCGGAGGATGTCGTTGAAGTTCGAGAGGAGGACCGAGTCCTGACATGTCAGGTCTGCCGGATGGGGAGTCTAGCAAAAAGGTGCCTGAAATAAACTACCTATACCTCTACTATTTTTTGGGGGGTCCTTGTTATAATTCTAGTAGAATATAACGGGAATCTAGGATTTGGGGTTTCGGGTTTTGGGTTTCAGAGATTTAGGGTTTCACGTTAAGGGCTTGGGGTTTCGGGCTTTCGGATTTAGGGCTTGGGGTTTCGAGCTTTAGGGTTCAGGATTTGGGGCTTCGGGTTTTGGGCTTCGGGATTTCGGGTTTCGGGTTTGGGGTTCTGGTTTCAAGAGGTTTGGTAAGCTTTCGGATTCCAGCGTTCTGGGTTTAGGCCTTGGGGTTTAGGGTTTTACGGTTTAGGCTTCGGGTTTAGGGTTTAGGGCTCAGGGTTTATTGGTTGAAGGATTTAGGATTCTGGGGTTGTTGGGGGGGTTGAGACGGCATCTACGCTCCTGACACTCTCAATTCCTTCGAACAACAAGGTTTGGGGAACGGATGTCTCGACTCTTGCGAAGCCATAAGCGGTACTTTGGTGTAAGCCTTACAAGTAGATCCCGGAAAGCACGAATGCCCTACACGGAATTTTGCACCCTACAACGCCAGGTTTTGACAGGTCTGGTGACTGAAGAATTTATAAGGGCTACTATAAGGGTTTAAAGTATAGGGGCCTAAATGATCAGAATAGGGCTTTGGGGCTATATTATACTAATTATGATTGAACCCCCCAAAACCCTATTCTAATTGCTTGCATTAAGGCCCCTATATCAACTGCGTGTCCTGGTATTCCTGATCCTGCTCATCGAAGATCTCCCAGCAGGGCATCGACACCACCCGCACCTGGCGGCATGAGCTCCAAACTTCAGGAAACGCCCCTAAACCCGAAACCCTAAACCCTAAACCCTAAACCCTAAACCCCTAACCCTAAACCCCAGACTCGAAAGTCTACTCCTCTACTCCCAAACCTGCATCAGGCTTTTTCTTCCGGCAGATGTGGCTGCTTTCTCGTCTTTGGCCTTAAGGGAACGACGCCTGGAGGCCCAGCTTACAACGATCAATACAATAAATCCACGGCTGCACTAAACTTATGAACCAAGAGATGCAGACAGGATTTCCGGATAGGCCCTAAACCCTAAACCGCATCAAGCTTCCGTGGAGTGCAACCGTACCGCACACCCTATGCCCCGAAGATCCCAGATCTCAAGTGAAGGGTTTGTATGCTTTGGGGCTTGGGGCTTACATGGGGTTAAGGGTCTTGGGGTTCAGGGTTAAGGGTTTAGGCTTAAAGGGGTTAAGGTTTTTGGGTTCAGGGTTAAGGGTTTAGGGTCTGGGGTTTAGTTGTAGCTTGAAGGCTTGGAGTGACAGGATTTTACTGCGTGGGGGGCGTCCGCGTGCTCAAATCTTCACGCCTGCAACCCCTCCTTCGGGATTACTTACAGGATCCTGGTACGTAGTATCTAGGGTTGTAATAAGGTCACCATACAACCCATGATGAACCCCGGTTAAGGTGATGCCCTGAACCCTAAACCCTAAACTCCAAAACCCTTAACCCAAAACCCTAAACCCTAAACCCCAAAACACAACCCCTAAACCCCAAAACCCAAAACCCCAAAACCCCAAAACCCTAAACCCTAAACCCTAGACCCCAAAACCCTAAATCCTAAACCCTAAACCCCAAAAACCCCAAACCCTAAACCCCATCACCTTGCTAAAGTCCCATGAGTCTCCGAGCCTTCAAGAGGGCCTGGCCTTCCCACTTGGCCGCAGGAAAACCGTCGAAGGCTCCTGCAGAGCTGTTTTGTTCTTAGGGATTTAGGGTTTAGGGTCTAGGGTCTAGGGTCCAGGGTGTAGGGTTTAGGGCGAGGGTTTAGGATTTAGGGTTTAGGGTTTAGGGTTGAGGGTTGAGGGCTTCAGGCATTAAGGTTTAGGATTTAGGGTTTAGGGTTCAGGGTTTAGGGTTTAGGGTTGAGGGCTTCAGGGATTAAGGCTTGGGGTTCGGGGCTTGAGATTTAAGGCTTAGCGCTTGGGGCCTAAACCCTAAACCCGAAACCCTAAGGTGAGGGAGTGAGGTTTGGGGCTTTTTGCTTCGAACTAAGCTCTGTGTGCACAAGGTTCTGTAAGATTTCCAGGAGTGCTAGGGGGTTCCATAAGAGTTCTATAACATAAAAGTTCCATGATAACGCTAGATCGTTTTGCGAAGGTTGTATAAACGCTCTATAAGATAACCCAGGAGTTCCACAGAATCTAGTTTAATCCCAAGAGAGTTTTGTAAGAATTCTGCGCGCAAGGAAAGTCCGAACTCAGGTTTGGGGTTTAGGGTCTAGGTTTTAGAGTTCAGAAGGTCTTCGCAGAATCGAAACAATGAGCCCTAAACCCTAAACCCTAAACTTTACCCTAAACCCAAGCGCGTGTCCCTGAACCACTCCACCATCCTGTCAAAAACCGCCACAGAGAAGTCCTAGAAAAACCTGAGTCGAACTGGACCTCTACAATCTACAACCTTAGACTCCGGACGGAACACTGGCACAGACGTCTACAAGAAATCCATCGAAAGGCGTGGCTTCTAGGCAGAAAGATACTCCAAACATGAACAACAACTACTCGATTCTTCAGAAAGATCAAACACGAACAGAATCAAGCTCTCAATTCAAATCCAAAGCTGTCACAAAACACAAACGCACACACACGTACGCACACCCTAAACCCTAAACCCAAACCCCGAAGCCCTAAACCCTAGGAACAACGAGCTCCCTAACCCTAAACCCTAAACCCTAAACCCTAAACCCTAAACCCTAAACCCTAAACCCTAAACCCAAAGCTCCTGAGAGTTGCTGGTTGACCTTCCTGGACCACTGCAAGAGCAAAGCCTCCGCGGCTGAGGGCTCCGAGCTTTCTCACTGCTTGAAGAATAAGGGTTCAGAGTGTAGGGCTTAGGGT